ATTCATGTATTTCTATGCATTCGTGTGAAAATGGCAAAGTCTATGTATTTGATGTATTGGATTCGTCTGAATGTTAGGTAGTTTCATTCCCTTAGTTTGTTCGAATGAAACTACCGAACAGTCAGACCTCCCATGTGTGAAGTGTGTTCTCAATTACCCGTTGCAACATTGTTGCGAACGGGTAATTGGCAAGTGAAGTAGCCGTCCTTTGTTCTCGGGGGTGGCCGCCATTCGAAAAACGAACACGTGGCGGCGGCCATTTTAAAACTCCCGAACAGCGGTGTTTTTCCGTCGAGTGTCTGGAACTTAAATCGGACACTCGACTAGGCGAACACTGCTGAAACCTCCACAAGCCCGGTCCGTTCGGTTCCTAACTACCAAACGGCCCCTCGTTCGGTAGATAGAAAGAACCGAACGAGGGGATTCAGGCGAACCCTCCCTAGCCTCTATAGCTAGAGGCTTTCGTGCAGTTTGTTCCCTTACTCCAGGACCGACCGCAGGGCCCATTCGCATGGAACCGCATTCGGCTATCTCAGTCAGTGCGGTCGGTCATTTTATTCCCTCCATAGATTTCCCGAACCCCTGGTCTGATCTGGGTGATTTTTGGATATGTTGTTCACCCAGATCAGGGCTATCAGGGGGTGTAGGATTAAAAGGGGTACCCCTATGTTTAGGGGTACATCCAGAAACAGGGGGAATTACTGTACTGGATAAAGGGATTATGATGCTGGCTGAGGGGAGGAGATATGTGGGAGGTTACCAGGACGGGATTGTCTACTGAACTAATGATTGTAAATCCCTCCCTTGCATGGGAGCATGCTTTAAAAGGACAGTGTGGATTAAAGATTTCAGTTCTGCTCCTGAAACTGTGTGTCGTCCAGTTATTGGGATTGCTGTTGGGATATTGCTGTTATTTTACCTGCTGGAAACCTTGCCTGTGGATTTACTATTTACTTGTTCCTGAGCCTCACTTGGATTATAAGCGGAGATAACCTGGGGAATATTGCATCTACACTACAGTGGCTTTCCCTGGGATGCAGTGGTGGCTCAGGTTAATGGGAGTCAGAGTTATCACTCTGACTCCTTCTGCTCCCTCCCGCGCGGTCTGTGTGTTAGCTGGGAGGAGTGACGTGCAGTCACTTCCTCCCAGCTCTGTGATGTAATCACAGGGGGCCTGGTCGCGCTGTTAAAGCGCCCAGCACTGACCGGGCCCCCTTACAATCCACATCCATCGGGAGGCTCTGACAGCATGGGCCACCCGATGGACCCCTCCATATGCGGCCCCGGCAGTTTGCCGCGCGGACCGGGGCCGCAAGTGGGGATGGCGGTACCCGTTCGCAGGCGTACCTCCGGCTTGCACCCGCCCGCCCAATCTCTCAAAATTAGAAAATCTCTACCGCCCACCTAGAATCCTGAAACGCCCACTAGGACCAGGTTGACGACCCATGATCTAAATAGAGGCACCGTCATTACCTAGGTATATCATTAAAGGAACACTCCAATGTTAAAATTAAGTATATTTGTGAATGTTCCCTTTTTTTCAAAATTTTATTTTTTTATTTAATATTTTAAGGCTGCTATTCCAATGATGGAATCGTTAATACTGATGGTATAAGTCCTATCCAATTCTTCCAACAGAAAAGTGTTTGGGGCTCAAAATCATGCTTTTCTTTGAGAGGTACTCACTTCCACTTTGAATGACATTTCAAAGCTAGTGAGTCAGGAATCCTTCCAGCTGTCTGCTCTGCAGACATGAGGCATTACTAATTCAATAACTATATAAAAGAGTAGCAAAATAATAGATAAAAAGTAAGAAAGGCAAACACAAAAACAGAGCAAAGTATTGTACCGGAAGATTGGAGGAAGGCAGATGTTGTTCCTATATTTAAAAAGGGTTCAAAATCCTTGCCTGGAAATTATAGACCTGTGAGCTTAACTTCTGTGACTGGGAAAAAAATTTGAAGGGCTTTTAAGAGCTATTATTCAGGAATTCATTGGGAAGAACTTAGTTATTAGCAATAATCAGCATCGTTTTATGAAACATAGGTCATGTCAAACTAACCTAATTGCATTCTACGAAGAAGTAAGTAGAAGTATAGATCAGGGTGTTGCAGTGGATGTTAAATACTTGGATTTTGCCAAGGCATTTGATACGGTTCCTCACAACAGGTTAGTCTTCAAATTAAAAGAAATTGGTTTAGATGAATATTCTTGCTCATGGGTAGAACATTAGCTTAAGGATAGAGTACAACGAGTTGTCATTAATGGTAAATTTTGGGCACCTGTTGTAAAGAAAGATATCATGGCACTAGAAAAGGTGCAGAGACGAGCTACACAATTGATAAAAGGAATGGAGCATTTTAGTTACGAAGAAAGGTTACAAAAATTAAATCTCTCGCCTGAGAGGGGATATGATCACATTATACAAATATATTAGGAGCCAGTACAAACCATTATCTGGAAATCTATTCATAAACAGGGCTATACATAGGACATGAGGTCACACATTTAGGCTGGAAGAAAGGAGATTTCATCTAAGGCAAATACGTTTTTTTTTTTACAGTAAGAGCAATAAGGATATGGAATTCTCTGCTTGAAGAGGTGGTTTTATCAGAGTCCATGCAGATGTTAAAACGGCAATTGGATAAATACTTGCAAAAACATAACATACGGGGATATAATTTTTAATTAGTGAGGTAATAGCTGCTTGATCCGAGGTGACATCTGACTACTATTTTGGGGTCAAGAAGGTTATTTTTTCCTAGTTTGTTGCAAAATTGGAAGCGCTTCACACTAGGTTTTTGTGCCTTCTTTTGGATCAACAGCAAAAACATATGTGAGGAAAGCTGAACTTGATGGACGCAAGTTTCTTTTCAGCTATGTAACTATGTAACTTTTAGAGCAAACAACAAGCGATAGAATAAGCAACAAAAAAATAAAGAGACAAAATAGAAGCTTTTGGCTAGCTGAGCCTTGTGTAAAATGTAGTCCACAAACATCTTCGATGTTAGTTATATCTTAGTTTGTCATAATTATAATTGATATGGTTTATCTTCATTACTAGGGACTATTGTTTGCTAAATGCACGTGGACCAAATCTCTTATAATGGCGAGACAGCTTTTAGTGCCAAAACTAGGACATATCATGGAAATGTATGTATGCATGGGGGAGTGAAATAGGGGTGAGAAAATGGGGAGTGCTAATAAAATACTGTCCACAAATTACTGACCTCTGTTTTTGTTGTTAAGTACAGAGTTATGGTTCATGTATGTAAATTGGATGTCAGACATAGAATACGTGAATGAAAAATATTGTGCTACTGTGAGTTTCAAAATGTTCCCCTCAGTGTGTCCAGTAAATTCAAGATATGTGAAAGTGAGAAGAAAATGTTATTTTTTTACGATAGCCAAAATATTTATGGCTTTGGGATCATAAAATTCATACAACTCATAGATCCTTATTTGCACTGTTTGTTCATCGTTTTTCAGTAGGTCATAAAGTAGCACAGACAAATATAGTTATATACTTGTAAAAAATATATTGACCAAAGAAAGTATTTGTTGAAATGACCTCTGTGCCGTTGTTACTTTCTTCAATTTCGAGTTTCTTTTAAATGTTTACATAAAACTTACTTCTAGCTTATATAGCAGTATTAATCACAGTTTCATCTCTCAGAATTCTTTCTGAGCTCCAATGGAATTATTTTTTCAGTTTTATTGTTTCCAATAAATGTATTGTTTCCATTTAGTTACTGTTTGTATACTGTCTTGAAATTCAGCTCTATTTTACAATTTTGTATTTTTTTTATAAAAAGCTAACATACAGTGCAGACTATACTGGTCTTGAAGAAGCATATTGGTGAAACGTTTTATTGTTATGTCTCCTCTTAAAATGTATTGGCATCAACAATACTTGAGAAGTATGCAAATGCAGATTTAATTTGAGTGCTGCTGGTAAGTGTCGCCACATAGTTACTGTTTTTTATTAACTACTTTATTTTAAATTCAATTTTCTAATAAAGAATTTAACTAAATTTCTCTCTGGGTTACTTACTAAAAGAAGGATTTTTGGAATTTAAAGTGAATTCATAGTAAATTTAAAATTTAAAACCAAAGTAAACAAACTGGAATCATTCTCCGTTTAGGCTTCTTTGGCCTTGAATTTTAAATCCCCTTTGATAGTGATGTCCCGAACGGTTTGCCGAACGGTTCGCCGCGGACGGCGAACATAAATATAAACTTTGACCCTGTACCTCACAGTCAGCAGACACATTCCAGCCAATCAGCAGCAGACCCTCCCTCCCAGACCCTCCCACCTCCTGGACAGCATCCATTTTACATCCATTGTGAAGATGCATTCTTAGTGAGCTGTCCAGGAGGTGGGAGGGTCTGGGAGGGAGAGTCTGCTGCTGATTGGCTGGAATGTGTCTGCTGACTGTGAGGTACAGGGTCAAAGTTTATGTTTATGTTCGCCATCCGTGGCGAACCGTTCGGCGAACCGTTCGGGACATCACTACCCTTTGAACTCCAGACAATTTTTACTTTGGTAAATAACCCTGTCTATGATGTAATCACAATTCTTGATGTCCATGAGGTGGGAAACATATTTTAATTTCAACTTGAACAGTGATATTTACCAAGTAGTTACACGCATTTTTTCATCCACTGCCAGCATATTCCATGCTTCTGTACAATGGGTGAACAAGACACACAAGTAAATTTAACAGGTCAAGCTTGAGTTACAGGAACCATTGGTGAGGACCCTGCCCAATAAGTTTACGATCTAAGGGAAGTGCGGTAAAATTACATTAAAGATAATAGTAAAGTACATTTTATTCAAAATATACAATGAATTGCTAGCTGTATTAACACTATAATTCGTTTACACTTGCAAACAAAGGTTAAGTAGCAGGCACATCTACTCAGATTAAATTATTGGGACAAAATGTAGGACAAGTCTTTGGCAGAGCAGATGGGGCACAATAGGACATACTTATTAGTGAAGATATGTAGATTGAGGCATTCTGTTAACTTTTCTAGTTAAGGCATAGGATGTTAAGTTGAATCATAAAAACCCATAGAAAACCACTGTAACTACTGAGACTTGGGTTAGGTGTGGAGGAATCGGAGATCTGGAAAGACTTGTGCATGGTGGAAAATTTGCTTTGGCCAAATCTCATTGTCTGAAAATACATTTATTTTTTTGGACAGCAGAATTTCATGCATTTGGTAGTTCGGCTCATCTAAATTTCAGCTGCTGGAAAAAAATCTGAGAAAACAGTTCAGAAGAACCAAAAGGGCATGAAAATATTATAACTCTTTATTGCAGTACACTGATAAATGCATTTGGTTCACAAATAGTAACCAATAGAATGAAAAAGAAGAGGAGCAGCAAAAAAAAAAAAATCTAATCAACACTTGTAAATATACAATAGGGAAAAAAGGGCAAGCACTGCTTCTCCTCCTTTGTTCCTTCTATTGGTTACTTCTTACTTGATCTGTGAAATAAATCAACATTTACTGGCCCCTAACCATCAAACATCTTTTTTTCCCATCAATTATATCTTTCTTTGGCTCCATGGTTGAAACTCGAAAATACAACTGAAATGAACATGCTCATTAATTGTTCAAGTTGTTTGTCCCATGATTAGTCATTACTGTGGTTAAGAAGATCACCCGATCAGCCCAAATTTCAGATGTATTGCAATTCATAATGAAATGATTCTCCAAGCCTAATGGATTTGAAGAGGATAATCTAGCCTTCGAGTGAAACTGATGAGAAGTGGGTTGCTCGTAGTCATTGCAGGAGACAATTATAGAATTAACAAGCATTTTATTGTCTTAGGGAGGTTGAAAAAAAAAAATACAACCAATATATTTAGGATGAAAGTGTCATGATTTGGTGATTGACCACCAACGTAAAGAGGATCTCACCATACAATTTTAAGAAGTACTCTAAGCTCCATAAACACTACAGCTCAATTTACGGTGCTATGGACCTTCGGATGCTATCATTCCATTTTCTATCAATCAGGGGCTGTGGCTGGAAGAGCTCAAAGGGACCAAAGTTAGTTGTCATACCATCCTAAAAGATTTTGACTACTTAATGTGAGATTGCACCAGGGCACTCATGGCACTATAACTACTACAGTTGCATATTGTTTGGAGTGATCCTTTAAAAAATTTAAAAGCAAAACTTATTATTTTTTACATTTAGAACACAAATTTTGATTTAAAATTCAACAACTGTGTCTCATGAATTTTAGTGTGGGTTGTAATAGAATTCATATGTAAAATAGTAATTATTTCTCTTTTCAAAGCTCTATACAATATTCGAAAGGAACAGGTGATGCATGAGATTTTTGATTACAACTGCAGCACAGTTTAAAGAAAATGTACAATGAACAGAGACACATATAGTGATTTTAATCCATTCCATTTCAAATACCACAATAAAACTTTTCACAATAATTTAAAGTCATACTCAGTTTTACAAAATATAGTTACTTAATGTGAAACCAGTATGTACAATAAAATATACATTATTTACAGAATCGTCATCCTGACAGATATACAAGCTTAACAGAGAATTTAACCAGATCTCTCTTTATTATGCTATTGTCCACATGTTATACGTGACAGCTAACTGTACAAAAATGAATAGTGCAAAATCACCACTGAAACTTTGGAACTATATCATAAGAATAAGATAAGTATTGTATTGTATTTACAATCATAATATGAAAATAATATAATCTCTTTTTCACAGCAAAGGAGTGGGATTTCAGTTAAGACAGAACATTTTGGGGTTTATTTACTAAAAAAATGATTGGTTGTGAACTGAAAACAGCACTCTATAATTTATACTAAAAAAGCCAAATTATGAAAAAAATTTTAAATCGACTATTTTGGACTAAATAGGTGTTTGGCTAATAAACTATTTATGCCAAGATAAAGAGAGCCATAAGCAGCGAGAATTTTGGAGCACATAAATTAATTATGCACCTATCTGTCATTCAGAAATGTTTATTTATTTTACTATGTAATATAATTTGAACCTGGGTTTTATGTAGATTGTAAAAGCCAAAAACAGAAATTTTGAATATGCAAAGAAATGATGTATGAGTTTTTAAAACTCATTTGCAATAAATAAACTATGGCCAAATCTAACTTTAGTAAGTTCCATTGTCTTTGTGCCTTTGGTAACTCTCTTTGCTAAAGGGCCCCTTATACCTATTTGTGTTTACATGCTACAGGTGACAGAGCATAACAATTTTCTATTGATTGCAGCAGCAGAACGGCACATGATATTTAAAATAATTAATTTGCATACTCATTGTTTGGGACTTGGTATGTCTTGGCATGCAAATTCAGATCATTTGCATAACAGGGAATAGCAGATTTATAAATGAGACAGAACCATTCCAAAATCAACATTTCCCATTTTATTTATCTTGCTAGTAGATATGTAGGGGATTTTATGAGCAGCATTGTTACACGTTTTGGAACTGTGTTTTAATACCAGTTAAATGTTACATTAACAGGATACCTATTTAATTGTACTTGTACACAGATAAGTTTCTGAAACATTTGCAAAGCAGATTCAAATAAAACTAAGTAGTGATATATTGGTTATTTATTGTAGGGGTTTGTTTATGCACTGTTAAAGGTAAACGTTACTTGCATTAAAATTTGAGAAAATATGGCTGGACACAGGCACATTGGAATTTTGTTTTTAAAAATGAGCTATTAAATTAAGTAAATTCAATCACTGTAACTTTTTAAATATGATGCTGTTGATCTAAGGGTCACATTTATTTTGCCTGTTCAAATAATTCTAAATAGAAAGAAAAGTTTCCTTCAAATATTTGGTCACGTACATATAATACATATACTCCATAAATTAAAAGTATTTTGAATGAATTAATCAAGGTGCCCATGAAAAGTGCATACCTGTCCTATTACAGACTTTACTTGAAAGCATTATGCAACACACAGTGTTGTAGACAATAGCAGTTTAGGGCCAGTTAAATGTCCTCCCAGTGATCTGGTAAAACTTTTGATTGAAAGGATGAAAGAATTTGCGCAATTTGGTTATAACAGAAGGATCGACTTCTGGGTGAATGCGCCCCTTGCTTCCTGCCAGGCACTTGTTGAAGACAATGTTAAACCGCAGGCAGTAAAACCCTCGGGTGGCGTTAAAGTACAAATTGTATTGACTAATCCTAGGTGGAAGGTTGAGGAACTTTTCTACAAGCTGCAGTTCTGGCAGTGGTTCTGTGATTAGACGATCTCCGTCAACAATGTGAAATTGTTCTATCGGGAAATATTTAAGCCACCTCTCCAAATGCTTGGTGTAGATACTGGTCCTTACTGCCTTGTACTTGGTGTTTACTTCACATGTGTTAGGATCCATAGCCATTTTTTCAAACTTGTAGTAAGTTTTATTTTTTCTTTCTTTGCCCTCTAACACCTGAGTGTAGTCAGATATAGCTCTCGTGGTAGGTTCCCGAACAATTATCAATAATTTTATTGATGAGTTCATTTTGTAAATTCGTTCGGGGACTTCGTCCGTAATGAAATAGGCAGGGCTTTTCTCAATAGTTATTTGGTGTGGGTGAGAAAACGGCATCTTTTTTCTATACCATTCAATGCCCCTTGCGTAGTTCTCATCATTATCAAAAAAGTGGATTTCTTGGGATGCCTTGACCACAGAAGGATGTAGATTTAACATCTCTAGAAGGGCTCTTGTGCCTCCTTTTCTTACACCTATAATAATGGCCTTTGGTAGCTGCTGCACCAGGTTGTGTAGGAGGATTTGCTCTTTAGTTGCATTTCCTTTACGAAATTCATGTAGTAGTCCTCTCTTAAACTGCATAGCTCGGAGATTGATCCCATCCTGGTTGTGTGGTCCAAACCGACCTTCAATTGGACAAATGGGAGGTAATCTGCATTAAAAGATCAATAAGGAAAAAGTGAATTAGAATGTAGGCTAAAAAGGTAATTCAATCTCATATATATTGGAAGAACAAAATTTTTATAAAGATTGATAAGTATAAAAAATATTTTTAATTAAAAATTATGTCAAACTCATTTTTTTTAATCAAAATATGTTTAATTCATAACTAAAATTATTACTTCTATTTGTAAATCTCACAGAGAATCATTTGATTAGATTGAAGTTATTAGTCAAAACTGGATTATAGGTTAATTTAGAGGCTTAAAGGTTATTTAAAACACGACACTGTAATGTTGAAAATCTATAATTATTTTTAACCATTGTTTATGTTGTTTTTTTTTAAACTGAGTGTACTGAGTTAAAGTAGGTTATATTGATGTAAATGGCCACATTCCATTGTATACAAACCATTTTTTAGCAGCCTTATTTTAAGTTTAAAAAAAAAATAATAATAATTCTACGTCTTTTTATAATTTAATAGTCTCATTAGTAGCATGGTTATAAGATAATGCATGTCTTGGGTTGTCCGAATAATTTTTTTGTCTTTCAAGCATTGTGATCTCATGAATTAGGATGCATGAAAGTGCCAAAAACCTCTCTACAGGTTACTGCTCCAAAATTCTCCTGTTAAATTCTTCATTAAACATGTGCTGATCAGGTACTTTAGCTGCATTATTTTGGACAATGCACTTTTTTAATATGTAATCTTCTATAATAAATTAGATCGTTGAACACTATGAGATTTTATTTTGCGTCTGTACATTTCATTCTCCTCTCTGATAGCTATCAGTGGAATACTATATTTGAAATGCAGCACTGGTGTCCTCTTAGCCTCCATACATTGACATTAAGTAGACCATAATAAATGTATATATATATATCCCTTTTTGTCCAGATACATTTCCATTCTGTGATATGTTTCCATAGGGCACTAGATTTGAAATACAAAGACATTATAATAAATGTTTTTTAACAGTATAGTGTATTTAGTTGTATCACTTCAGAGATATTTTATAGTTATTCACCAGCTTGGAATACTCATATTATTTAATGTCTTTACCTAGACAAGTGCTGTGGTCCAGTCCTGACCTTTGTTTTAAGCATGATTCACATACCTTGATATATATATTTTAAGTAAATTAGCTAAAACGCAGCTGAATTACCCAATGTGCGACAAAAGTGAAACACAGGTAGATTATTACTTCACTTTTAGTATGCAATTTCTACTCCTGCATTCTACAACATAATCAAACATTTGTAATATTAGTTGGAAAGGGATTATGAAATAGACCCCTTTTTGTAACATCTATGCTACCCTAACACGCAA